TTATTTTTATTTTACTGTTGCTGCATTTGAATTCTTGTTAGAAAATAAATCATAAAAAGTTTTCCAGTTCAGTTTAAGTTAAAATTATTGATTGCATGATATTCTAATTTGTATTGGAGAACTAAGAAACTTTTATTTCTCCAAGAATGATAAAATTGGAGTTAATACGTTAACTGAATACGGAGTTAATACGTTAACTAAATTGAAACGCAACAAGAAAAATCTGATAAGCCAATGCTTTTTAGAACAAACTTTCATTAGATCTTTTTATTGTGTTGGATCAAAGTAAAATGTAGTGTATTTTTATACAATTGGAATTTATTTTACTTTTTTAAATTCAATGAATTTTTATCATTTCATAATTTTTCATAAATTATGTAATATCCCATCTCAATTAAAATTTTTTAAAACCATTCTAACAATTTAATTAAAACAATAGATTTTTTAAATTATAATGTCTTCTCACTTAAGCAGCAGACAATTTTCTGGGTCCAAAGGGAAAGGTACAGTGAAACCTTTATGTAGGTTTCACTGTACCATTTTTCAATACAGTTTAACATTTTCATAATGTATTGAAAGTTGCATTATAAGTGAACTAGATGCAATCAGAAGAAAAAAAGATCAAAATCACAACTAAACAAACAAACATGAAAATAAATTAATGATAGTTGATAATTTATTGATTAATGTATATATGTTACTGCAAAATCTGAAATACTGCATTCCATGGAATGCCTAGGCTATGTATATAATGCCTAAAATTAGCCAGCAATGTACGAAACAATTCATATTTAACAAATTTCCTAGGTATTCTATAGAATACCAATGAGAAATCAGCAAAGTATGAAAGATATCTCTGAATTACTTTAAATTTAATGAAATGTAGTTCAAAATGTCATTCAAGCCTACTATGTTGCAACAAGTAGGTAAATTTAAATTTCTTATTTTTGATATGAACATTTTGTTTTCCTTAATAAGAAAGGTGTAAATTGTACAACTTTCATTTTTCCTTACGTATTTTTATTTAAGTCTTTTTTAATGTCACTCTCACTATTTTTACAAAAAAACATTTGTATTTTTGAGGAATGCACCGTCATTTATACAATAGCCTTATTCGGATCTTTTTTCATGTTTTGGCTACAGAAAATCTAGGTCTGACTTCAAAAATCAGGACTAGCCAGGGGAGTTTGGAAGGTTCGGATTTCTGAAATTTGCGGATTATAGGTACATTACTTAAACCAATAAAATTATTGAAGTTTTAATCTTACCAGGTGGGTATAATTACTGTCGCAATTAAATGCGTGTGTGCAGATGCCTAAATTAATTCCAACAGCTATATATAAATAATTAAGGGGTCAAAGAGTCATTAAAATCAGGAAATCGTCAAAAAAGTCTCGAATTCAGAGGGTCACTAGAATTCACTAAAGGGTCACTAGAATCGTGATTTTAATTTTTTTACCTCATGAAATTATATTCATTTTAAGCGGTTCAAGATGCACGAACTCAAATTAAAGCTTTGTGTGTCATAAAATACCGTATTGATAGGATGAAAAACATCAAAAACTGCGAAAATAAATAAATAATAAAGATTGGAAAACAAAGCAATCACTGCGAATGAAGCACATCAAAACAATGTGAAAATGGCTGAAAAACTATAAATAACCAGCGAACATAATCAGCAAACGATATGGATTTATGATAGAACCATCGTGAATCAGGTATGTCAAAAAAGAAGAATCAAATTCGAGCTTTCTGGATCATAATAAAATAGCATTAATTATTTCCAATTTTGAAAAAACACATAACAATAGTAAAAAAAAACGATGAATAACGAAACAAAATTATCGTTAAACAACGTGAATCATTATGAACTGAATAATTAAAAGTGACACCTTGATATTCTAAATGCTGGTGTTATAATAACATCATATAAAAAACATAAACATTTGAAAAACTGGGGAAATGGTAAAAAAATAACTGCCAAAAAAAGATTGGAAAATTTAAGTGTGCGATGGAATTGTTGCAAACTAAGACCGTCAAAAAGTGGTAGCTCATAATAAATTCACATATCGTATTATTAGGTTAAAAATATAGGAATCCGAAGAAATTTTTTTTTACGTAGAAATGGATGAAAAACAATAAATAACCAGCCAACAAACGATATAGAATTATGTTGAATCATTGCAAATCGAGCAGGACTCAAATTTAAAATCTGCATGCTGTAATAATGTCGGGATTTGAAAAAAATACATGGAAATGGTTGAAAAACTATCCGAAAGACACATGGTCATTGCGAAACGTTTTTCATTAAGAGCAGATATTTTTTTTTAAAAAGACATAAATTTAGGAAATTTTTGTCATAGTGAGTATGGTTTTTAGAAAGTCAGATTTTCAAGATCATACTGTACAATGCTTAAGGAAAGTATATAATAATTATCATATTTCCTTCTTTGCTTAAAAACGTCTGCCATTATATACAATGTCTAGGCATTCTATAGAACGACAGCATTTTATACTTTGCTGGTAATTTACATAACAAATATAATATTCCAGTAATTTTTCAAAAACATAGATAATATTCACTAGAATACCCTCGTAAGCTGCGCTAAAGTAATCTATAACATACCTGGTATTTAACATCCAGGGACAAAGGAACATTTTCCATACGTTCTGAGAATCTTAGACAACTATACATTGTTTCTCTTGAAAATTAGAGAGAAATTTTTTTTTTGTAGAAAAGCATGCCAATCACAAAAGGTTTAGTAGTAAAGTTAATATATATATTTTCCAGATACTATTTTTTGCTTTATTTCAAAATGAAATAATAAAAATCAAAATGCTGAGAATAACCTCTTATAAAACATTCATTTTGGTTTGTTTGATTTATAATAAATATATGATTGATTAATAATAAATATAAAAAATTAAATGTCTTTAATTTTTTACAATACTCAAAAGTTGAGAAAACTTACAAAATTTTAAAATTAAATCGCAAAAGCATAAGTTTATTAAAATGCAAGTATTTATAGAAATTAATTTAAATTAAATTGCACACAAAAGCTTTAATTGTGAAAATTAATAATTTATTACAATCTAAAGTTATAAGAACTACAGCTAGTTCTCAAAACTACTCAATTTTCTTAAGAGAAGAAAAATCTGAAATTTATAGTTAAACTAATGTATATTGTTCAATAGTATATTATAATGTACAAGACTACAAGAGTTCATTATACCTAGAGCAACATTCCTTGTGTAAATGATTAGTTCATTTTCAATAAATATATAACTTTCATTTATTAGATCTCAATAGCTCTTCTTTTAATTCAAATATAGATATAACTATTAATCTATGATAAATAGAACACTTTACCCTTTCATGTATGCAAAATATTTCTGCAAATCTGTTCTTCTTAATTTATTTTAACCACTTTAATTTGCAGGTTTAATAAATAAAGCAAAGATGTAATTGATAATTTTAGGTTATGATTTAAAAATGATTGTCGTTAAACTGTATAACAGTATCTTAAAATATTAGTTTTGGTTTCCCACTTTTTATTCCTCCACAATGATTAAATTTTTCTTTGATAATTAGCTGTTTAACAAGAAATATTCAGATAAATCTGAGAAGAAAACATCAGATGTTTATAATAAATATATAGCTAAAAATTCTCAGTAGAACCACAACTTTTCTTTAACATTTAAACTTCTTAGATCTCTGCAACAATATCACAAATTCATTCCAGAAAATGTCTATAACTAGTAACGAATAAAATGGCAAATATTCTCAGAGCAAAATTCGTAGCAAGCAGAATTAAAAAATATCTTTCCACTATAAAGGAGTAAAATGACATTAAATACAAGGAAATAGTAACAAACGTCAGGCATATATTTATGCTATTTTCTCTCTTATACAATATAAAGGGCATCGCATAGCTTTAAGCTAAGTCTTCACAACAAATCAGGCAACATTGTTAACAACAACAATTTTTGCATACAAGGCACTGGATGAGTGCAGTTACTTTATTAATAAATCTATCAATATTTACTCAAAAACAAAATAGAGTTGCTATATAATTTGAAATATAGCCAATGTCTTTTAAAACAACAAATATACAGATAAAATCATGTAAAGACAAACAAAGCATTTACATATCAAAAGACGAATAAAGCTATTTCATTAAGTTAGGAAGTGAACTTTACAAATCAGTGAAAAATTTAATGGCATTCATAATAATTGTATAATTCATCATAATGAGGGACAAGTACATTAAATAGGGACTGAATTTAACAGGCTTAACATTTAGAATGAAATCAAGAATTAAAATTATCATTTAACAAGCATCACATTTTATTATTTAAAAAGGAGTAAGCCATAAATAGTCTAAAAATGCATGTCTATTTTTCAAACATTAAAATTGCTGCCAACTTTTGAAAACTAGAATATTTATGTGAATAATAAAATAAATATTTGTTTATGTATTTTTTAAGATAAAAAAATGAAGCAAAATATTGAAGTTAAAAATTGATTTTTAAAAACATTTGAAAAATACATAACATTAAATTCTAGGTACTACAAAGTTTAGAAAAAAAATATGAATTTAAAGTTCACAAATTAAATAATTGTTTTGGTTTAAAAACCTTAAAAATCATCTTTCAATTTTAGATTTTTTTTTCAAATTTAAAAAAAACAACAACTCAAAATAACATAGGTTTCAAAATAAAAAAATCTTTGATTCAAACACACTATTATATCTGAAAAGCTGCAATAGAAGTAAGAGAAGGTTGTTATTATGAAGATCACCATTATTTTGAACCAACTAGCAATTCAACCAGTATTTATTACGGTATTATAATAACAATCAACAAACAATTATATAAAAATTGATTTGAAAAATAGTATTAGTCAATTTGGTATGTTTAAAAAAGTTGGCAGCTAAGAGAAAATCCAATTTTACAAACATTAAACAAGGTGATAAAACCTATAAAAAAACTTATAAATATTTACCGATGTAATTATTTTACATTCTTATGGATAATAAAAGCAGTAAGCCAATGAAGTAAATAGACTAAAGAAAAAGTTTGAGGAATTCTTAAACAAGAGAGTAATAAAATAAAACTAAATCACAGTAGCATTTCAATATATATTTCATACCACGTTTTCTATCATCTAATATCCCTGAGCTTTCTTGCTTCTTTGATTGTTGAAATAAATCAGCCATCAAGACTAGTATATGAAGTACTTTCATGACCTGGAAGATTTTGTTTAATAAAGTTTTCTAGCTTTTTTCTTGCTTTTGTCTCTTCCTGCAAGGCTTTGTTTAAAGTAGCAACTTCCTAGAGGCACAAATAAATGAAAATAATGAACACATATTGTTTTAATAAATCTAAATACTAAATACAAAATGTTGTAAAGCATACAAACCCCTTTCAGTTCAAGTATTTGGTCCTTCAACATGTATACAGTATCAACAAGAGATCTAAATAAAATGCAACATTAGGGAATAAAAAAAGGATAATTGCATTTTCTGTGCATAAAATTAAAAATATAATTACAGCAATTAAAACATTTTTACAATTAAAAATATTTTATGCGCATTGCATGCATAGCAAGGAAGTTGTAGCTATGACCTGATAATACAAAAGGGAAGAACAAACAAAAATACAACATCAAAGATTTTTTGTAAGTAAATTATAATAGTAATAGTTTCAATCAATTATAATTAGTAGTAGGTATAATAAATTACACCTCAATTTCTGATGCATAATCAGCACTTACTTTCATTATAATAAACTTTTTCTTTCTTTTTTAAAAAAAGGAAGGTGATAACTCAAACTTTGTCTATCCTTAGACTGAAAATTTTCTGAAGATAAAACTACAGAATAATATTTTTTTTTTTCTTTTCAAAATTTATTTATTTTCTTCCCCTATCTACAATACTACCATGAAGTTACAAAATGATAATCAAGTTATATCTCAATTAGGGTGATAAATTGAAAGAGTACGCTCATACAAGAAGCTCATTTGTTTTCAGATGACAAAATGTTCAACAGAATTTTGTTTGGTTATTAATTAAATTCCATAAGTATTCTTTCTCAATATACAATATATCATTCAGACTTTGTTAGAGGGTTCGAGAGAAATTTCTCTATGAGCAGTGATGACACAGTGCTTAAGGCTTGTCAATGTGTAGCGCTGGGGTTCTATCCCTGACATCAAATGGAAGTTTACTCAGTTTCAGATTGCTTCATGTACCAGTTTTTCTAGGCAGTAATGGCAATCTGAGCACAATGCGGACCATATTCATGTTTTTGACTACATTGTGTTGAGGACTCGTATTGCCACTCTCATGTCTCCTCAAAATTGGGAAGTCTTCACTTTCATAATCTTTTGGCTAACAAGGCCGTTTAAGGAATGCTTTCATATTTTTTTAAAAACAATTTTTGTGAAATTCACATTTTAAGGTATTTTGTCTGTTTTCATAATAAAATAACACACTTTATTTTTTGTTCAACTCAATGCATTTTCAGCTTCTAATACTGTTTTAAGTCCCAGTGTAACTTCAAAATAATAAATAAGTAATTTAGAATTGTACAACAGGAATTTTTAAAATATACATGCTCAATACCTTGATAATAGAAGTTTGAGCTGCATTAACAAATCAATAAACCAATTAATTAAGTTATTGGACATTGTATTGTGCTCTAACTTACTTTTCTTTGATTTCTGTTCCGTCACCATCAAAACCATCGATTATTATTTTATCTTCAACGAAGTTTAGTCTCGGAGGTGCACTGGCAGTAGCTATATGTAATAATGAAAAAAATATTACTTGAACTCTAGAATTAAATACCATTACAGTAACGCACTTTTAGAAAGGTTGTTAGTACCTAGTGGTAGAGTATTTCGAGTTCTGTCATAGATATTTAAAGTTTCCATCATATGGCGGACTGGTATATCACCTTCTGATTCATGATCTAGATAAAATAGAAAGAATATTTCAGCTAGTAAATAATATTAAATTACATATACAGAGCGATCAAAACGTGAAAAAATGTTTTTCTTACAAAAAAATTACAAGATTTAAATGTAGTAAATATCTCAAATACATCCTACCAACCCATATCTTTTAAAATTCAAAAGATTCACTAAAAATTGCTGAAGAAATTACTTAAAATTCAGAAGATTTCAATGCACTTTCAATTTCTATTTCGTATTCAAAAATTCAACAGTAAAGTTAAGCCTTTTTGAACCATTGATATAGTTAATTGTTGTAATTATCTATCTCATCACTAACTACAAAGGAATTTTAGTTTTTTACAACTCTATTTCTGAGTGATTTTAGAATATTTAAACATTTAAAAAAAAAAAATCCTGTAATCATCAGCAGCAATTTTTGGAATTTAGTGTTCAATAATAATTTAGGTAGTGTTTTAACATTTATCATTATTAACATTTTATTAAACTAAGATTATCAGGTTAATGATGTCCATATTTTATAAGACTGAAACACAGCAAGGGCTGATTGTGAGCCCAACTCAAAATTCCGAAAAATTTCTTAAATTTAAAAAAAAAAAAAAATTCTTAGTTTATTTAAAATATATTTAAAATTTTACACATACTTATACCATTTACACATACCTATGATGACCTGGAGAAGTAATAAAAATTTACAAATATGTCTTTCTTTCTTGAGCTTATAATTATAACAACTATTTACTGATAAAAAATGAATATTAATCATGAATATCAGCTTATAAAGTATTTCTCTGGCTCTCCCTTACAAACAAATAAAATAAACTGTGCTTTTTAAGTTCAACCTTTGAAAATTTAATTTCCTGAAACTTCTGTGATCAATGATTCTTTGAAACGTCTTGACCTTTGATCTCCGGAAACTTCCGGAGCACAATCAGCCCTGGCAAAGATGTTATTGTTCAAGCGAGGCAAAAGAGACTATCCAACCAAGCATATGTGTAATATATACATAAGTAGTTCCAAGAAGATACAAAATTTTAATGTACATTTTCATAATGCAGAAGATTTAGGTCACAGTGCAAAAAGGAAGAAAATGGGACTTAATGCAGAAAGCTTCTGCAAGGCGCAGAAGCGTTGGCAACAATGCAAACATCATAAAAATATTTATGACACCTTGCAAAATAATATATTGAAAAGATGCAAAAATCTCCATAAAGACAAAATATTAAAAATAAATATAAAAAAAATATATAAATAATATAAAAGCAAAATTTTCAAGTAGGTTTTCGAGCAGAAATTCCATTTTTGCTATACCCAAAACCAAAAATATAAGATAAACTACCCTCACCACATAAAATTCTTCAGATTTTTTGAAGATTGTATGGTACTATTTTTGGTACTGAATTAGACAAATATAAATTTATTATATTTTTCAAATTTAGATGTCAACTTACCTTCTATCAATTTGAAAAACTAGGTTTTTAAATACTTTTTTTTTTAATTATGTTGTCTCTTATTTTTAGTAACAAAATTAGATGTTTAAAAAGAAATATTGCACCAATTAACCTTTTTCTTTATTACAGCTGTTATTTCTTCTTAGCTTAACTTCATTCTGTAATGTCAGACTAGCTCTTAAGGGAGGATGAGGTCGTAAGTTCCAGTTGGTCCAGAACTTTTTAGAAGTTGGACGAGATGAAGAAGAATTGCGATTTGACTTATCTTCAGGGGATATGCTTCTGGAAGACTTAAAAAAGAAAAAAAAAAAGGTTAGAAACAAATTAAATTATATTAATAAGGAAGCAAGTTGAAAAATATATAATGAATATAGTTAAAGTCAATTTGTCTTTTTGAAACAAAACTAAAACTGTTGTTTATGTGTGTTCTGTCACAATAATCACTTTTCTTTCAAATTTATGCACAGTAAAAATAGACTAGATAACCATATTTAGCATTCTTAGAATTTCAATTAAATAAAAATAACAAAATCTTTAAGATATTTATTGTTGTTATAAAATTTTTTTTTATTGTAAATACCATTTTTTTTAAAAATCTTTTACAACTGGCATTGAATAGCTGATCTAATTCTGAGTTTACAATTATCAATGTTTAACTCCATAGAATTGTAATTTTGAACCCAACCCAGAAGACAAGAGAATTCCTGGATTAATTATTGGGACAAACTAGCCTTCGTGGAGGACTTACTGATGGAACTATGCCGCAATTGTTGTGTTACATGAAGAGGAAAAATCACGAAAACCTCCCGAAGTTAGGCTAACAACAAGGGGATTCTTACCCATGATTCACCTATCTCCTTGGATATTTTACATCAGCACTGTGGTCCATGCAAGCCTGGAGCAGAATTTGTATGTACCAGTCACCACTGGCATTCGAACCTGGGCCATCCCATTGAGGGGCGAACGCTCTATCCCCTGAGCCACCACAGCTCAAAATGCTTCTTCTCATGCTCAGTTGGTAATTTCCATCCAACCAAGAATGGACTGCAGAATTTTCCATTTAATTGGCTAAAATGTCCATTTAAAAATTTTAAAATATTCATTTTTAAATGTAAAATATATTGATTGCTAAAATTGGATTTTTCACATAGTTAAGAAATTTTCACAAAAATAGGCTACAAAAAATAAAATTTTTCATTGATCCTTGGTACAACCGTATATCAGTGACTGGGTTAAAAAGTGCACCGTAAAATAGAACTGAAGGTGAAAGAATTTTTTTTATACGTAAGCAATGCTAAAAAAAAAAAAAAACTTTATAAAACTAAAGAACCACATACATTTGTTTGTAGACTTCGAGTAGAATGGGCAGGAGAGTAGGAAGTTTGCATTTGAGATGCTTGGGATGAGTTGGCGCGGGGTAGTGTGCTGCATCTGGAGCTTAATAATGATACTGGGCTTCTAATGATATGATTTGGAAAAGAGTTCATCCACTGTTTGAAACTTTCTGGTGATGGACAAATGACAATAATACGCTGCATCAAGTTTCCTAGGAAAAACAATAAGTAAAATCAACATTTCAAAAAGTGAAGAGATAGTGACAAAGTCAGTAACTTAAAATTAAGTATACCCTAAGTCATTCATCATAGCAAACTATACATTCATATTGGGTAAAATAAATGATTTCAGACATTTAAATTATTATTATTGTTTTTAAATTAAAATAAAAATTGAATAAAGCAAAAGCAATAATTACCACTGAACTACATTACATAAAAATAATTAGCAGGAACTTTTTCTTGCACAATATAAAATCAGGCATATGGTTTTGCATGAAAGAACATCTTTGAGAATATATACAAATGCATGTTAACATTTTTAAAATTATGAGTCAACAATGAGTTTTGTATTTAGTACAGAAATTTCTCCTCAATATAAAAACTTTTTATTTGAATAACAAGAAAGAAACTATATTAATAAGTTTTTTGTAATAGAAAAACAATAAGTGAAAGGACGCTTTTAGACTTTATAAATGCCTAATGAATTAAATTTATTATAATTATAGTTTTTTTTGAAATTTTTTTTTAAAGTTATTACGCTAAGCACAGACTAGGTGAAGTTTCTTTTTTTTAATCTATTGTAATTTTCTAAGCATATTACTCTAGATTTTTAGGAATTAATAGTTATTTACTTAGTACTTTTGTGGGTGAAATAATTATATGTACATAAAATTAGCAAAAATCAAAAAATATTCACCATTTATTTCAAATGCAAACTGTAGACCTTCTGATGGTTCAATTTTTCTCACAGTGATAGCATAGAGTGGGAGTCTACCCTGTTATTTCAAGAAAAAAAAATTTGAACAATATTATGAGAAAAATACAACAGAATAATTACTTGAATTTTCACTATCAAGTCAGGAAATAAATTTCAGTCACTCAGCATTAAAACTACCTCCAAATATTTTAATAAATATATTAAAAAAAATCTATTTTAATAAATTGATCACATGGCAACACAACTAATATTAATTTTCTAGATTAAATAACTTACCAAGATTGATTTATCCTATACTAAAGATTAAGAAAAATATAAGATCAATGTAATAGAAAAGAAAAAAGGATTACCTCTCCTTCCAAATATTAAATGTTCTCAGACATTATGTAGGAAGGGAGGAGGAGGAGAAAAGGGAGGTGACTAGAGTGGAAGGGCTGGAATAATTTCGCTATTTAATAGCCAAATTTATTTTTAAATTTTGGTATCTTGACAAAATTGCTTAACAATTTCATATGATGTTGCACGGCATTACTCTTAATTAAATACATATCACTTATTAATATCTTATCACTACTTATTATTATTACTTAACATTTATTATGACAATACTATTAATTAATTAAATTATAGAGGAAAAGTAAATTCTCCTAATTTCTTTTTTAAATTGCTATTTTTATGTATTGTTTTAAATAATATAACAAATAAAATATAATGTTACATAACAAATAAATCTATTTATTACATATTTAGACATTTACTAGTAATTTAAAAAAAATAAATAATCGTAATAGGCTTAAATAACAGATGACTCCATGAGGCTATTATCCCAACTTCATTTTTTTAATGTAAGATGAATGGTAATGTTCAGAAATAGCAACTATCTTAAACATAATTAATAAAAAGGATTAATATTATTTCATTTTAATAAATGAAAAAAATATTTACAAGCACATTTCAAGAAAATATGGAAGTAAAATTTTATTTAAAGTATTCTATTTACAGTAAAGTTAAAATATTAGCATGCATGCTAACAGTTGAACATATAAACATTTACATATACATGAGTGGTACAGATGCAAAACACACTAAAAATGAATTAAAACTAAGTCAACGTATCAAGTTTTGTTCTTTTTTACCATGAACAAACTTTTGACTTAATTTTCCTTAGTTTGATATTTAATTTTTTTTAACCTTAATTAACATAATTTATTAAACAATACATCTTGTTATAATCTTTTTCATATTTTTCTTGATTAATCCAAAAAGTAATTAGCAGGTTTTGTAACAGAATTATTTATATGTGAAATTATTAGAAAAAAATTATTCATATTTTATTACCTCATATGTGAAAGTTCCTATCTTTGCACTTAAAATGACTAATGTTTCTGGAAATAACACTAAAAACTGACTACTTTTCTGCTGATCATCAGTGAGAAATGTAACTGTTCCCATATAAACGATATTTCCTAGCGTATGAATTCCCTAAAGTGAAGAAATAGTTTTTGTAAGTGACATATAATTCAATGAAATAGTAAGAAAATATAAGGTTAATGTCCAGAAAAAAAAATATTACCTCTCCTTCCCAACATTGAATGTTCCCAGATATTATTTCTAATTCCATTTCTTTCTGTTTCCTTACATTTGAGCAAACATTCTATAAATAAACATGTATTAGGCAGAAAAATAAATGCTTCTNTATGAATTCCCTAAAGCGAAGAAATAGTTTTTGTAAGTGACATATAATTCAATGAAATAGTAAGAAAATATAAGGTTAATGTCCAGAAAAAAAAATATTACCTCTCCTTCCCAACATTGAATGTTCCCAGATATTATTTCTAATTCCATTTCTTTCTGTTTCCTTACATTTGAGCAAACATTCTATAAATAAACATGTATTAGGCAGAAAAATAAATGCTTCTTATTAAAATTAAGTTCAAGTAAATATATTGTGAAAACTTACAGCTATGTCACTGTATAAAGACGCAGCTCTTTGAGTATCACCCCTGTCAATGTGACTTTCCTAAAGTAAAAAATAAAATTTTTAATACATAACTACAAATTAGAGATCTAATTCAAAAAAAGGAAAATTTGGTAGATAGAATAAGAGTATGTCTAATGGAATAGTGTTTTGCTTATAACTGAAATTAGGATTCAATTTAAATGTAAAACAATCAGATAGGTTTAAACTTCAGGAACTATTACTGATTTGATTTTACTACTCTTTATTGATATATGAAACAAAGTAAATAAAATGTATCATAAAAGATGAAAATGCTACTATATGAAGTAACACAAGTAGAAACTGTGCATAAATAAAATTTAATGTCTTGTTACATGTACAGTGGGCAAAATATAAAATGGACCATCCAAAATAACTTTTGATCTAATGATTGGATCTTCACATTCTAGGACTCAATCTTAATGGTTCAAGGGGGTGACCTCAAATAAGCTTATTAATTAGTGCAGACAATATTTTAAGTTACGAAATTAGGCATAAAATGTACTTTTAAAGATTTTAATTTTAAATGGCAAAATACAAAGTTTGAGTGAAACCTGTCGAATAATTCCCGAGAAATTGAATTTCAGAAAAGTCAGATACTTAAAAAAAAAATCCATTTCTCAGGAAAAATTCAAATAATTTGGTTGATTTTGTATTTTGTCATTTAAAATTGCAATTTTTATAATGATGTGAAAAAAAAAATTTATAACTTACAATTTAAAATTTTTTGACTGTTAATAAATAAAATAATAAATATTCATTAAAACTTATATTTTGCATGGAATTATTTTTGAACAAAGGATTTTAATAATTGTGTGCAAATATTTTTCAATTTGCTAAAAAAGTACGAGATATCTTGAAATACTAAAAAATTAAAATCAACATAAGGCGTTATTCAGAGTTTCTGTGTCTGATTTTGCAACTTAAAATGTCGTCAGCAGTAATTAATTATCATACATGAGGTCACTCCCTCAAACCTTTAAGATTGAGTCCTAAAACATGAATATCTTATCATTAGAACAAAAGTTATTCAGAGTAGTCTGCTTTTTATTTTGTGCAATGTATATGTTTAAGAAACAGAACATAGCTCTTATAATTTATCAAATTTTAGTACATAATTCTTGTTTTGTTACATAAATTTAACTTTTGTTCAGTATTAAACCATAGCTATTCCAGGAATTAATAATTTAGAAACAAAAGAGTTTTGTCCATCCTTGTAATTGTTTTTTAAATTTGTGGACGTTTTGTAGAGGTAAAGTAACATATAATTACTAAGTGATGAATGACATACAGCTTTTACCAAACAAATGATTATCACAAACATAACTTATCAAAAACAACATTAATATAAAAGAGGAGCTTAACAATTTGTGTTTGAAAAACATCTGATTTTGGAGTAATACAAATAATACTCAGTCAATTAAAGTGAAGAATTATTAAAATATTGAATACAGTATTTGATAACAGATACTTAAAATCATGACAATGCTGTTTCACATTAATTTCATTTTTAATAGAAATCTGAAATAAAAATTAATCAATAACATTATTCATAATCTTCAGCTGTGGAACATCCATTATTGAAATTAATTGGTAATCTTTGAATTAAGAAATAAACACAGAAATTGCTGAATTGAAATAAACAAATAACCTGGGTATGCCTTAAGAGTTCTAACAGAGCAGCAGCATATTTTTCAAGTCTTCTGAATGGTTTACTTAAACCAGTAATTAAAGTTAGGAGTCCTGGAGGAGGGGCACCACGTTTTTCCATAAAATCTTCCAAAGGCTTTCTAAAAATTAAATAAAACATCAAGATGTAATACCTAAAAATATAATAGAGTACAAGTTAAAACATTCAAGATGATTTTTTTTCTTCAAGAAGTAACTTTAAAAATATCTTATTTCTTCAATAAATCAATTCCAAGAGAATTCATTTTTATTATAGGAAGTTGAAATTGGACAACAAATTGGTTTACCGGAGGGCAAGTTGATGAAAAATGTATGAAAACATTCAAAATGCTTTATAAACACTGTAAAATATTTAATTATAATGCTGGACATATACATAAAAGAATTCAGTTGATAACAAAAGCTTATATTATTTACTTTAATTCAACCAATTACAATAAAAAAAATTCAATATTTTTTAACTGATCAGCAAGTAAAAGCAAATATATATATACATATATATATATGTGTGTGTATAATACAAAAATTTTATGAACTTATAAACTTGTAATGCAAAAAATAGCCTTTTTATTTAATTATAAAGATGGATTATAATTATTTGTAAAAATTACAAATAATATAAATGATTTTTTTTCATTTATTCCATTTAATTATGTTCCTCATGCAAAGTGACATATGGATACTTATATACTTATGGATAAATATTTCATGGACATACTCATGGATAAATATTTCATGGACATACTTATGGATAAATATTTCAAAATGTATTCTGAAAGCTTTTTGATGGAGTGTTTAACATTTCTGCAAGTTTATATGGAAATTTCTTCTTAATACACAGCTTTCTTTCTGGATAACAAGTAAGAAAACTAATCTTTTAGTAGAGAAATAGCAGGGAAAAAGACCATTTCATGCAACACAAATGTTCAAGGTTGAAATAAATTCACGATCAACTGAGACTCTTAATGTATTGATGACTATTATAAAAATTATCACTAATTACTGATGTATGAAATTTTATTGTTTTATCTTTTCAGCTGTAAGTTAGTAATAAAGAAAATAAATATAGAGCTTATTTTTAGTGAAATTATATTAATACTTATAACATAAAATTAAAAAAAAAAGAAAAAATGCAAATTAAACATTATCTTCTTATTTTCTTGTATATTTTTAAGTATATTAAAATTCTGAACAAGAAAGACAATAGCATATTAAAAAAACCTATGTTATTAACCTACATAATCTGCTCAGCTCCCTTTAAAATTTCAATAGCTCTTCCTGATGAACTCTTAAGTTACATGTAAAAAAGGATACATATATGCACACACATATAATAAAAATACTAACTTATGCTTTTCAATAACAGCTACTGCTTTAGGATGACCAGAAGCATAATCCAGAAATATTTTTTTAACATAAACATAAACTCTGATGAATTCAGCACCAATTCTTTGATTCTCAGGTGACGTACTATAAAAAATTAACAAGCATGATGAGATAATCATAATTCTAATTAATAGGAAGGTAAATTATGTGTTTTCATACCGTTTGACATCTTCTAACATATGAACTAATACTACACTGCAGGCACAAACATCTTCCAGATTATTAACTAAATAATTATATTCAATTTCTGTCAAACTGAAAAAAAAAAACAACCTTTTTTACAATATGTGTTAGTACATACAAAGAACAAATTTTAAACCAGATAATTGCTAAAAAACAAACAAACTTTAAAACAGCTGTTACAAAATGTTAGATGTTAAAATGTTACAAAAATAATAAATAAAAACATATATCTTGAGGAGTTACAAACGAAAATGCAACAGAAGAATTTATGATTTTTAAAAAAAAAAATTTGAAAACAAATTTTAAAAGCAGATTTAAAAAAAGAAACAAAAACTCACTCAAATGACTTAATTTTAAAGAATTAGTCTAAAGAAGTATTAAAAAAATGAATCTAGAACACATAGAGTTACAAACGAAAATGCAACAGAAGAATTTATGATTTTAAAAAAAAAAAAATTGAAAACAAATTTTAAAAGCAGATTTAAAAAAAGAAACAAAAACTCACTCAAATGACTTAATTTTAAAGAATTAGTCTAAAGAGGTATTAAAAAATGAATCTAGAACACTTTCAAAACCCTATATGATTATGCTGTTAGGACCATTCAGATCAGAATTACTAAAATTATTTAATTTAATATTAGTAATTGCAAACTATACTATGACTTATATTTACTTAGTATATTTATTGATTGTTTAGTTTGTCAGGATTTTACTACAATCAATTTTAGTATAGGATTTGAATGGAGATTTCAGTGTGGGGTGTTAAATGTTCTGGAGTAATAGCTGTTTATTTTTGGTGCTACTCTAGAACAATGGAGAAAAATGGGTGGTACTCTAGAAAAATGGGTGGTATTTTATTAAGAAATGAAGTTAGATTTTAATGAAACATAAATGAATGACTTAAACTAAAACAATTTTGCACTTTCATAACACAAAGAAATAATTTTCATTGGAGCCACAAAAAAGTTTATAAAAATTGCTTGTTTTTGGAACACAAGTGAAAGGAATTAGAATATGTGCATTGAAATTTTGTACAAAAATGCTTTTTTTCGATCAAGTAGGAATATCTAATCACATCACAGAGATTTTTAAGCGTATTTTATTTGTAAACATAATTAAGTCCGTTTAAGTTTTATTAATTAATAATATTTGAAATTAGAACATTTCTTGCACATTACAGAAAATAATCTTATATAGATTCCCATATATTTAATCCTATATAAAGATATAGATTAAATAATGGAATAGCTACTAATGAAGAAAACTTTAATTTCTCTTGTAATAATTTTATATTCTCCAGTGCAACAATCTGCCTTATTAATTGTTCAGTAATTTATAAATGAATTACTGTTTCTCATCAAATTGTCATTATGTGGATGAAAATTTTTTTATAAACTTCCAAGGCTATAAAATGTGAGGAGAATATTTTAAACAATAGTGTACAAATGTTAATTTATAATAAAAATAAGCTTAAAACAAATTTCAGTTGCATAAAAAATTAAGATTTTGAAATTTGAAAGCTCATTTGTTTAAAATTAAATTGAATTTCCTAATCATTACATATAAATTATTAAATTAATATTTTTAGCATAAAGTATAGTTATTACAAAGAGATGCAACTATGTAAAATTAGTTTTTTAACATCTAAATATAATAAAATAAGTTTTTCTCAGGAAAAGATACAACTTGTTTATACTTTAATATTGAAATTAAATCATTATTGTAATGATTTCTTTAGAATAATTTTGATATGAAACTAATTAGCAAAACAAAATAAATAAATCTCACTTATTTATTAAATTTCTAATTTTTTACATTACTTATAATTTTTCCCTAACAATTAAAATTATCTTACCATGCTCCGAAAATTAGATTTTTACTTGTGAATACCTGAAATTTTTACATAAAAGTGCAGCACAATATGTTTTGCTTATACATTAACATTGCACAAATCTAATTGATCAGTTTATACAACACTAAAGAAGAATTTCATTTAAGGACAATATTTTAATATAAAATACTAGCCAAATATTACTTACATATCACTTCCTTTGAGAGTTAAAACATAATTGTTAACCAGAAACTGCAACTCTGATAAATATTCATTTTCACTTTCCATAATATCTTGGAAAACCTGGAAAAAAAATGAAGATGAAATTATACAGTTATAAAAATGAGATATATCAACAAAAATGAACAAAAAAAATGAGATATTTATTGCAGCCAAATTGTTAAAAACAAAAATAGGAACATAAAGCATGATAAGCCAATCAGGGGAAATAATGATACTAAGTGAAAAAAAGAATATTAAAATATTGATATCAAAATATCAATTTATAAGTCATACACGTTTCATATTTAACATAATTTTTTGAGCTAACAGTTTTAATTAAATTATGTACTGTTGAAGAATATCACACCTTCATAGTAAGTAATTGAAGAAAAAATTTACTTCTTACAAGAATTGCAAGATCAGATTCTAAAATCACTTGAATATGAATCACGATATTGGATTTTAAAAATGCAAAAATACAAATTGCGATGTTGAACTTTTAATTTGCATAAATAAGAATCATGATGCATAATTTTTAGATCCCGTGAATACAAATCACGATGTTAGGTTTTAGAAACGTGCATATACAAATTGCCATATTGTATTTTTAAATTGCGGGAATACGAATAACAATGTGCGACTTTTAAATTCAGTGAAAACAAATAGCAACACTTAACTTTGAAATCAGTTAAATACGAAAAGCTATGATTGATATTAAGATAGCGCACATAAGATTCAAGATATTAGCAGATTCCGAAGCAGTTCTTCATATTCAAATCAGCCTAATCAAAGCAATAAAATGGGCCGAAAAATCACATGTATGTAAACGTGTCTGTAAATCACATTTATGTTTTGTCAAGGAGATTTAGTGAAAGTTTCACAATTTCATCGGATTATAATTTTTTGATTAGCGGAAGTCCACTAGCCAATAGTTTTAAGATATGCTGAATTCGGTGATATTCACTGAAAAATCACACTCTTGCTTTTAGTTTTCAGACCTGAAAACTAAAGCCGAGTTTAAGAGTTTCTGGAATATCAAGACATGAACTTTATCATATTTTCCTAAAAATTTTACAAACACAGATAAACTAATCAACAAAAAATTTTAGTAATCAAAAATAAACAATTGAAATCTTACTCAAAATTTCAGAATCAGCTACTTCAGAATGAATTAAGCTAGCACTCTTAAAAGAGAAATTTGAGGAGGCTTTGTTGTTAAACAGTTGAAATCTCACTCAAAATTTCAGAATCAGTTATTTTAGTATAAATTAAGCTAGCACTCTTAAAAGAGAAATCTGTGGAAGCTTTGTTGCACGACAAAAATGTAAATTAAAGCACCAATAAATATTTTTTTTTTGGTTTATCAGATATTTAAAACTATAAAAAAAAAGCTCTAAAAAGGAATAAACTATAAGCTAAACACAGCCAAACTCCCAAATTATTTGGCCGAAAGAGTTTTGGGCGCTGTATGCAAAGTGCGCCTGGATCCAACAATTCATACAGTTTATTATGAAAAAAGCCAGAGAAAATAATTTGTTGACCTGAGGTCCTTCATGTCTTGACACAAAAGCATAAACTCAGGTCAGAAATCCTAGAGTTGGCAGGTCAGCACAAGGGTCTACATGGGAAACTTTTTTCATGCTTAATCTTTAAGAAGAAAGGAATAAAAATATTTGAAAATTGCACATGAATGGAGTTCAATAACAATGAATTAAGAGAGGGAGAAAGACAAACAATGAGAGCAAAACAATGACATTTGTTGAAATGTGAGTATAAGTATCCACTCACTTAAACTCTAGGTACAGATGAAAAAGCATAATAATTTTACCAGTAGCAATAATAATGATTCACAATAAAATGAATTTAGAAGATACCCAAAGTACAATGATCTTGAAATTTCAACTGTAACTGGTGCAGTTATGGCGCAATGGAGAAATAGAGTTATGAAGAAAGAAAAGAAAGCGTGCAGTGAAGGACAAAACTAGAAATTTTAAAACTTAAGGATATGAAAACAGCAAATGATATTATTATTTCTAGTAAAGAATCTACCATAACACGCATTTTGAAACTTTCATTAAAGATCAGATTCCAAAAGCTTAAAATTTAAAATGGGCGTAATAAATATAATTATTAAAAATGTATCATTAAAAGATACTTACAATTTCTCTATACAATTTAACATCATTTAAATTTGGTGAAGAAGGCACTTCAATAGGCAGGCTATTATATTTTTCAGATTTCTCAATTCCTAAGAAAAAAAAAGAAAAAGATTTTACTCACACTAATGATACATACCAAAATCTCAATATAATTATGAAATGAATTGTCATAAAACAATAACAGAACTGAATTAAATTTAACTCTCAAAAAGTGGAGACAGTCATACATTAAAACAAAATATTAATTATAAAGTATTTATTATTTAGTCTTTGAAACTGAATTGAAAATAGATAGGTATATTCAATAGAATAGACTCTCAAATATCCATTACTTAATTCTTAAGAATATCAAACTATTCAGAAAATACTCTATTATCTACAAATCAAAATACATGGCATTAAATATCATGAGAAAAAAAAATCAAAATACATCGTGCTACATATAGTAAAAAGACACCTCTAGCAAATGTTATCTTGCATTTAATATATGATAATAATGAGCAAACATTTAATATTAAATATGTTTTAAACTGTCTATAAACCTTAAATTTTCATTGAATATTAATAGTGCATACTTAGCAGTAAAGCATTTAAAAATTGTTCAAGAAATTCTTCATTATTTGGTTTGACTAAGTCTAAGCATTTATATTTAAAGAGAATGCATTAGAATGGGTTACATCTCACATTATTTAAACCATAGTAACTTAAAATAAAATTTTTAAAGCTACACATTAATTCAGTAACTTGCATTTTAAAGATGTTTTTTTTTGATTGACTGCAATAACCTGTTATTGTTATTCCACTACCCTAGCACTAAGTTCACTTTTTAAGCTAAATGGAAAAACTTTTTAAAAATTTTTTCCCATGACTAGAAATGCTTTTCCAGAAAAAAACATAAATCTGGCTTGCAGAGAAGTAAACAGATCCAACTGAATTTGCTGTTAACAATGATATTGTCCTAATCCAGGTAATTAACATTCTGTTCAAAAAATAAAATAAACTATGAAGTTCTTTGTACTGTGCAAACTAATAACAGCTACTGGAATAAGTTATTAACCCTTTCATTATAACTAAGCATTAGTTTACATTTTATTTTTCGAAATCGAGCTACACTATACAAAGTGCAATTCCATATTAATTACCTGTTTTAAGTTCTTTCACATAGTTGCTTGGAAACCAGCCAGTTACTCCATTTAAGGTTCCTTCCCACCAACCACCTTCAAGTGCTTGAGTAACTGTAACTACATCTCCTTTTTTTAAGCAAAGCTTTAAAGAATAAAATAAAAATATAGAAAAAGCCAAAAATTATTTCACAATCCAAAATTGTTATTAAAAATTATTGAAAGTTTATTACATAAAATGCAAGCAAACCTTTGGGAAATGTAATGGAGCCAGCTTTTAAGAAATATACAAAATCCTGAATACTTCAGGGTTATCATTGGATATAAAATTACAGTTTAGAGGTCCTCAAAATTTAGATAGTACATTAAGTCATGCACTGGATGTAATTAGCTTCAATTTTCTTTTTTCACCGCAGTATAACTTTAAAAGTTACCTCCACACAGATAGAAACAAATTTGGAAAAAAAAAAAGAAGCAAAACTTTTGATCATGTAAATATTAAAATGGTTTCATTGTTTTTCTGATTTTCTTCAAAGAGTTTTCATTAATCAACCGAATTTCAAATTATAATTGGAAAATAAAGCAACTTATATAACACTTTCAAATCAAAGACCTTATCAGTAAAGGAAAATAAATCTTCTAATTCTTATCCTNAAAAAAAAAAAAAAAAAAAAAAAAAAAAAAAAAAAAAAAAAAAAAAAAAGCAAAACTTTTGATCATGTAAGTATTAAAATGGTTTCATCGTTTTTCTGATTTTCTTCAAAGAAATTTCATTAATCAACCGAATTTCAAACTATAATTGGAAAATAAAGCAACTTATATAACATTTTCAAATCAAAGACCTTATCAGTAAAGGAAAATAAATCTTCTAATTCTTATCCTAATTAATATCATAATACTTAAATAATAGAATGAATGAATGTGGGTTAGGATTCTAGCTCAGCACCCAATTAATTTAATAAGTTTTGAATTAGAGTAAAGAATTATAATTAATTTACATGATTTGATTTTGTCAGGAATTTCAATGACCCAAGTTTGGGTTGCGATAATTTAGGCAACTTATAATCAATGCCAGGGGAGGATCAGGAGTTAGACAGTTCAATTATTTTTGAAACAACTGGTTTTCTTACCAAACTTTGAAGGATAATTTGAGCAAAACATTTCTACAATTTGGAGTTCTAGTAATCTTGATATATATGTTAAAAAAAAATATTGCATGAATTTTAATTTCATGCAAGAGTTTCGTTATTTGACCGATTTTTCAAAATAAAATTTTATCATTCCCAACTTCAAATGAAAAAAAGTTTTCTTTAGTTTAAAAAAATTGTGCTAAAGCTTCGTGGCATAAAAAACAAACATTAAAAAAAAAATCTGTACACAAGCAACAAATTTAATGTAGCGTTCATAATGATTAGAAAATAACCATAATTACTTCATCATTATTTGAAGCTTTATAATCATATAATGCCTTAACTAAATGTACTGAAGGTTCAGTTGTCATGCTTGAAACTTTTTATACAATTCCATAATGTAAGAAGAGCAAGATCATCTGCAAATCAATCTAAAACACAAAAATCACATTATAGAATAGTCAAATCAATATCTAAAATTAATTAAATAAGGTTCATATAGCCTAAAATCACTTTAATAAATAAATAAAAACCCGATTTATTTTTCAAAAAATTTTAAAATTTGACTATTTCTGTAGATAGTTGCTACTTGAACTGATGTATTTGTTTAGATTTTGTGACAGTTTTAAAGAGCTTATCTCATACCATCTCTTTGCTATGTCCTTACATTGAACCGTGGCTCTCATTTCTTAGACAGAGCTAAATAGTTTTCTGGCCCACATATTTTTGATCATAATCAGATGACAGGAACATCCTTTGAGCTGATACATCTCTCAAAATTTTTTTAATAAGACTTTCAGTTCATCTTGCTATGCATACAAATTTTACACCAATTGTTCAATTCACAGTCAGTGTTTCCGGAACAGTTTTTCAATATTTAATATTAGACATTCAATATTTAATATTAGGTCCATGCAAAAGTCAATACAGGAATAAGTGTTGTTAAGTCAGGATAAAAATTACTAATCAATCCCATTTCATGATTAACACTTTTTTTTTCTTCTTCAAAAAACACAATAATTAGTACCTATAGCACACCATTTATGCTTTTTGGTGAAGTTGCAGCATATTAGTTAAATGCAGCATCGGGGAGATTTCTGTATCGTGATCTGTGGCAGAATAATAGCCAAGTCTTGAAAACTTCCTGGCAGTGGACCGTGAGAAACTAAAAAAATAAAACATCACATAAAAGAGACCAATTTGAAAAATATAATTCGTAGCCAACCCAGGGCAAACATCTACATGCTTTTTTTAAAAAAATTTGCAAGTTTAAAATCTATTTGACACCTTGGCGATTGTAGTAGGCGCGACAGATCACAATACGGAAATATAGGTACCTGCAGCTTCCAGTTCTGCGACAAGAAAAATAATGAAAACGCTCATAAACATATTATTTGTGAGGAAGTGCCGTTTAATGGTAGTATAAGTATTATAATCAGGGTTGGGTTTTTGACGTCAAAAAGTGGTTTTTGACATGACAAGGGTATAATACTGGTTTAAACCGTCAAAAACCCGTCAAAAATGTCAAAAANATTAGCAATGTACACCCTTTTCACCTAACTAGCAAAATTAAAATTGCTTTTATAATGTTTTACCATAGATTTATGCAGTTGTTAGTAAAAATACCAAATAAGGGTGGGGTACTTGGAATATAATAATTGTGTGTATGGGTACACAAAGTATAAAAATATTGAGAAATTTTGCAATAGGTAACTACTTTTCCAATATATTTTTCTACTACACTTATGTTAATAAGAAGTAGCATAAAAAATTTGTTTAAATACAATTAAAAATTTATGTACATAAATGACACCATATTAAATGTGTATAACAGATAAATATGATTTCCCATCATAAGATTTAAATAATAAAAAAACTCCTTAAAATAATACAGATACAACATTGGGACCTTTTAACGTAAACTTAAATTTACACTTTTCATAAATTTTTAATGATATCACAGACATAAATTTTTTTAAAGGAATACAATTCAATGTATTTAACATAATTTTCTGGCAAATAGCTTTGAAATTGATAATAAAATATGTTCGTCATGCCAATTTGCTCTCAGAAAAATGCCTTAAGTCGAAGAAAAACATAAGATTAAATTGCTGTATACCTCACTTTCAGCAAGTTAATTTCTGCACAAGTTTAAAGAAACAAATGATTTTTAAAAAATAAAAACGATTAAAATCACTTCAGTTTTTTATACATTTTGAGTCATGGCTTAGTAAATTAAGCACATTTTAGAAAAATCTATCAATAAAATCTCGCACTTCACATCTAATGTTGTTTTCATTTTTCTCAAAAAAACAAAACAAACATTTAAGAAGTACACGGGTACAGTTAACAATTTAAAAGCTTGGTCACAGCTACGCTTAGCAAATTTTAATTATAAAAATAAGCCTCGCCTTTTAAACTATAACAAATGTAATCCTTTGCTTAATCTTTACAAGCGAATTTTTTCAACCAATAAAATTATAAATTTATGACTTTTAATTGCAATAATTTCGTGCATTCAAATAAATAATATCGAAACCAAAAGAAACAACAAAATCAAAAGAGACAACGTTCTAGTTTCGAAGTGCTCGGCTTTTCGACGTCGGCTGCTACTGTTTCGCGCTGGGAGACAGCATTTAATCCAGTGAGTCGAAGTAAACATGTGTTGTTAGAAGATGGTTTAAAAACATCTTGAGTATCTTCGAGTCCAGCATTCTTTCATTTGGAATAAAATTTATTCTGGAACTATTCAAGTGAAAATTAAACGGGAGTGCGAGATAAATTTTTTAATTTAAAAATACTTTTTTCCCCCAAGAAATAATATTTTAGTTTTCGGGATTATAAAGGAAAAGTTTGAACCGACAGTAGGAAATTTTTAGATTAAATTTTTCAGTTGAACAAGCAATTCATTGCCTGAAAAATTTTCGTCAATACTTATAAGGATATCCATACAGAAATAAGATTTTTGCTCTTAATTCACTATGATGGCCGATGATGAGATACTGTTTGATGATGTTTACGAACTTCGTGAAATCATTGGAAAGTGAGTCAGATTATTTTGTCATTTTTAAGTAGAATTCATTAAATAGTTTTTATAATAAAGACAAGCTTTCATTTTTATTTGTGTATCATTTCTTTGTTAATTAAACTAAAGTGTGTTACTAAATCATCTTGCATTCAGTGATAGATACTTTTAAAAGTATGACCAAAAAGTTATCTTTCCATTTAATTGTGTTTAGATATTTGATATAAATTAAATCAGCTTTACTAATTGAGTAGAATTAATTGAATACATATGAACGTGTTGCACATGATTATTTTTCCCAATCAAATTGATATATTTGACTGATTTATTTGATATGAATTGAATGTACTAGATTGATATACTTGGCTGATATACTAAATTGGCAGACAGTTAGTAATTTGACAGTATTTGTTAGTAATTGATATACTAGATCAAGTAAATGTTATTCAATTAGTACTGATGTACTAATTAAGTGCCTGGTAGCTATAAATGAGAAGTCACACTTTTTCCACAGGTGGCATTTTTACATCTACCTGTTCCTCAGTATTATTTCCTAATAAGGAAATTACAAGTTTTCGGAATTTGCATCAATAACAGCCTATTCTTAGTAACATATTGCTTTTAAGGATATCATGGTGTTTTTCACCCAAAATAATCATCTTAACTAGGAAAAAAAAACTTTTATCCTTTTATTGTTTGTAGTCCTTTAATAATAATCTTCTATCTTTTAAAAATATTGATTAATAATAGTTCAGACTAATAAATATATAATATAAGTATAATATACATAATTAATAAATATATAAATAAAATAAATTGTGTACAAACTGGGCTAAATTTTAATTACAGTCTATGTCTGATTAAAATATGTGTGTCCAATTGCAATCATGTATAATTCGTAAAACTCATAATAAAATGTTTATTTTAACTTGTTATTAATTCTACGCTGACAGGGAAATCTCTCTTTAAAATTGTTTAAAAAACTATTTTATAGTTTTGAGTTACAGCTTTCAAAATTGATTTCTTATTTTTATATTAAATTTATGCAAATAATAATAACTAATTCATAAATCATTAATTATCACGATAAATTTATAAATCATAAAAATCATAGCTCTTTTATGTTGTTTTTCTGTAACAAAGAATATTAATTTCTAAAAGTAGCTTTGCAGGCTAACAAAACACATATTTACTTTGTACCATTCTTGCTAGAAAATTGAATGAAAAATTCACTTTAGACTTGCGGTTATACATTAGGAAGCAAGCTTCCTAGCTAATATATAATAAGTAAGCTTCCTATATATATATATGATTACAAAATTGAATTATTTTTTTTTAAAATCTGATAATCTAGTTATTAAAGTGAAAAGTTTAAGGAAACATTTAATAGTACTAAATTTTTTATTCAGATTTATTTTAGATATTGTTAGTTATTATAGCATATATTTTTTTAATTTTTAGCCACACATATTAAATTTTTACATAATAATTATAATTGAATTGACAGTAATACCCAGGGCTTCAATCTATTCAAATATCCATTTAATTAATTTTAAACCTATGATAAATTAATCTGAAATTAGCTTGTTGAAACTAAAATATGTTGTGTTTATCTATTTTAAATAAAGGGTAGAAGAGATTTGATTAAGCATGAAGAAATTTGATTTTCAAAAACAATAGAAAAGGCTTAGTTTTTTGGAAAAGTTGTATAAGCTTATAATATAGGTCTTAGTAAACTTTGATATAATTTGGATTTNTTAAATAGAGGTAGAAGAGATGATTAAGCATGAAGAAATTTGATTTTCAAAAACAATAGAAAAGGCTTAGTTTTTTTGGAAAAGTTGTATAAGCTTATAATATAGGTCTTAGTAAACTTTGATATAATTTGGATTTGTTATTTATAAGGAATTTAAATTTAAAAAAAATATTAAAATAAGTTCTTTTTGAGATTTGTGAAAATATATTCTTTTATATTAAGTCCCTCAAATCAAGTTTACACAAGAATTAGATCGCTATTTTGTATTCATTTTTTGAACAATTGAGACATTGAGGTTCTGATTTTCATTCACAGCACATAAAATTTCCTAAGTTATATGAAAATATTTTTATATTATGAGTTTTGTTTTCATTAGCATTTTTCATTATATCGAGAACACAATTGAGGTTTTGCTCACATAACTTATATTCTCAGTTTTCTTCTATGACGAAAAAAAAAGCTTTTTTAGTTTATAATTATTATTAATATTTTTAAAATTAAATAATTTTTGGGAACATTCTAGTTTATTTATAAATTATTTATAGTCTCTTGAAGTGTTATTTTACTTCACTGAAGTTTTTGGTACTTTGTGATGTACAGATTTAATCAATATATATGAAATAAAGGAGGACAATTTAAATTAAAGACATTTATAATTTAAATTTAATTATTTTATAATTTAAAGACATTGAGTTAGTTTTCTATATATGTTGTACTAAGTTCTAATCTTTAATTAAAAATAACTTTAAGTAATTAATATTTTGAAAAAAAATGAAGTGCTTTAACTCATGCCCACTCTGGTTTTAAGAGAGAAATGCATGTAGCTTATGAGATAGCCATAGTTTTTTTTTTAGCTATTTTCTTTATAATTAGTAAAAATAAATAAATATTTGTGCAATGTACCTACAATTAAGGGTATATTATTTTTTACACAAATGCTTTTTAAAATGACTTGAGTCTTATATCTTCCACTCTTTAGATAACAATCACAATAGATAATTTCTCATTCAGTCATACATTTTACCATCTTACATTTTACCACTTACGCTTTTTTTTTTTTTTTTTTTTTTTTTTTTTTTTTTTTTTGTGGTTTGTGGCAATGCAAATTTTTTGTACAGTTATCTCAAAGGTGTGAATCTATTTTAATGTGTATTTTTGAAGAAAAATATCGAATACAAAAATCTGTATTAAAATTGATTCTTTGCAGATGCGTCACAAATTCTCTGACGGTGTTGAATCTACGATCTTTTTGTAAAATTAAAAGTTCGTCATATAGAAAAAACGAAAATTAGCAGGATAAACCTAAAAATATTGACAAGCTATACGAGGTAAAAATAAAATGATGCCCACGCTAGTCTAAGAATCCGACGCTGATGTCACTAGAAAAGGAAGTTTAAGATTTTTATCATTATTTAGAATGCTAATACGTTTTTAGAAAATATTTTTCAGTTTCAAATTCCTGTTGTAAAGACAAATTTAGATAAAAAGGCTTGTTAATGATTCGCAGGAAAAAGATTTGACAAAGATTCGAAAGAAAATAAGCGGTCAAACTATTTATAGCATATTTTTGCAAAATATTATTGATTTTGTGCTTAAATGTGGTGTTTATGAATTAGTGAAGCTTTTATGCCCCTGTTAATATGCCGTCTTTGAATAATAATGAAACGCAAAGAATACTTTCTTGAAATTGTAAAAATTGTACTATTTGAACCACTTAAGAAAATATTCGTTGTTAGGTCATAATATTATATGACTTTTATAAGCATACTGATGAGATAGTTTATCCTAGAAAGCTGCTGATAAAATATTGCCTTCTTCATATCATTTGTAGAAAGTATGAAAAAATAAATTAAAATGAGAAACGCTTCTCATTTTGAAGAAAAATTTAAATATGAATTATGAAACTATTATTATTTGGAGTTCTAATTGTACTATATCTATTAATATTTTAAACAAAAATAATGAATTCATGCATCTTATAAAGAAAAGTATCAGTATTTAAAACAGTAAACAAGAATTTGGAACTAACAATTTCATAAATTAAGGCTTTTCGATGTCGGCAAAAATTAGTTTATCAAAGAAATTTTTTTGAAGGTGTTTTTGTCCCTTTTTTCATCATATTACCTGCTCTGTATTCATATAGATAAGAGCGCTGCTTTCATCCTCTTTTTTTTCCCCTCTCATTTTTTAAGTCTCGTTGTTATTGATTTTTCTTAGTTTATGAGATAATGATATGACTTCGTTTATTCTCAGCCACCTTAATATCTTGGGAGATAACATTAAAGTTTCTTGACACTTTAATAAGTTTCTATCTGATAATGAATTCATTTATTGACTCTGAAATCTCAATGTAAATAGTCTACGTCCTATGTTGGAAAATATTTTTAAATAAATATTTTGAAATTTAGGGCACGTTCATTTATCGCGTTAGTTTACACTTAATGTGTGCTTAAGAAACTATTTATTGACTTTATTCTCGAAGGTGTTTCGTATTCTCAACGGTAGGGGGCAGTATTTGCAGAGGTTGTTTCAACTTCCGGTAGAATATTCGCTTGTATTGATTTCTATTTTTTTGATTTGTTTACATCATCTTTGGATTTTTTATTTTATTTTTAAAAATAAAATATTTGTTTTCGATAGCGAAAAATTCATTTGCTAGTGGCAACAGTTGTTCGCTGCTGTTGGTTGCACTATGTGTCGAAGTACTAATGCGTTAAGGTGTTTAAATTCCCTAAAGACCCATTACGTCTTATTCAATGGAGTAATGCATCAAAGAGGATAACTGGAATAAAAGAAATAGTCACGTTCTGCTATGACGTCAGAGGACAGTAATATTTCCTGGAGGTTTTGTTTGTTCTTTTAGGATAGTTGGTGAATAGCTTCTATGATCGAAGTGAGGAAAAGAAGTTCGAGTCATTGTTTAAATATCATTAAAAAATATTGAACAATTTATTGGTTAATTGTCGTCTCATTTTCTAAAGAAAATGCATAAAGAATGAAACTATCTCCAAATTACATCATATTTTTGTTTTTTTCTTTACAATCATATTTTTTAATCATTTTATAAGCATGTTTTTTAATATTTTTTTACAATTATAATTTTTAATCATTTTTTTACAATATTACTTTTTTATAAATTAAAATATTACATTAAGAGCTTTTTTAGAAGGTAAATAATTTTGTCCAAGTAGTTTGTGAGTTTTGTAAAATTTTCAAATTACTTTAAACGTAATATTTAGTCTAAAACATTAAAACGTCTGCA